GTAGCTTCCACAAACTAAGAAGCTTCTCAAGCAGCTTTTATGAATTAGAAAGCTTCTTAAGCAGCTTCCACAAGCTAAGAAGCTTCTCAAGTAACTTCCACGAGCTTGAAAACTTCTGAAGTAGCTTCTACAAACTACAAAGCTTCTCTAGAACCCTCTAGAATCTTCTACAACTTCCTAATATATGTCCTTGACACAATGTCATATAATGTGTTGTCTTGCTTGAGAATGGACCAAATACTAAGTTGTAGAAGATAAATATAAATTATAACAAACAAAGGTCTTAACAACTCTAGTAGAATCCTAAATAAATTCCAATTAATATAAAACTAAACCTTAGTAATTCTTATTAAATTTTAATATATTCTAAAGAAATCTTTAAAAAATTCTAAAAGAATTGTTAAAAGTAATCTTTCAAAATATTGAAAAAGAATCCTAGAGAAATAATTAAGAAACCCTATAAAATATTTAAAAAATATTAAAAAAATTCTTAAAAAAATCCCATCCAAATTCTAATTAAATCTTTAAAAAACTAATTAATTTCTATAAAAATTCTTTAAAAATCTCAATCAAAATTTAATCCAATTTCTATAGTAGTCTTAAAAGTTGAATAACTATTATTCAAACCATTGATCTTGACTAAAATTTTTCATACATCTTAAACTTTAATCAAATAAAAAGCAAATTTTTTTTGAAAATAATTGAGCTTATCAATTAGTAATAAAAGCTCCTAATTTGCTCAAGTGTCTAATGTCCTGCTTCTCCAATCTTGATGTTGATCTTGTAGTAGCAATAATTCCTTCTTAAACCATTTACTTTATTTCTAAGTTAGAAAAGTATTGGAAACTAAGCTCCCTATGCTTTTACAAAATTATGCTTTAATCTAATAAGAAAATTGCTTAAGATCACAAAACTCTCATTTTGTGAAATCAAATATTTCAAACCTTAATCCAATCAAATTTCAATGTATTTTAATCTAATTTTTTAATTTATTTTAAAATTTTTAAAAAAAATCAAGACAAGTATATTTACAAAATTTTATTTATCTATTTTCTAAAAAATTCACAAATTTTTTAAATATATTAACTTCTTTTTATTTTTCAAAATCTAAAATCACTATAAAAAATCTCTAACTTCTAAAAGCATTCAAAAACTCAAAATTAATCTAAATCACTTGAAACTAATGCTTAAATAAATCTTCTAAAGTCTCATCTCTAAATCTTGCTGATCAATCAATAAAGAATCTTAGGCTCTTCTATAATAAAAATCATATTTTTTTTCTTTCACCATATAGTCATATTACAATATGATAATGGATCTTGGGCTTTATCAACTTATGAAGTAATAACATGCTCCTCATAGAATTTGATGCCTAAAAGGGCAAGGAATATAATGGATAGCCATATTTATTATTATATTTATTTAAAGAAATTGAACTAAGTAGAACTAGGTAGAAATAGGTTTCTTTTGCTGATATCTTATTAGAAAGCTTTTTATAAGCTTTGTAGATTTTATACATGCTTATAAATGTTAGGTAGGTTGATAAGTTGGCCACAAAGTAGATAGTATGTATGAAGGCCAAAGTGAGACCTATTTCACTCTTATCAACACCTTTCTTGTGTATTATATTAATTTAAAACTTCCTAATCTTTTTTATTTAGCAATAGTTATTTTAGTTTTGATTCTAAATCTATCTTTTAATTGTTTATGTTCTTTTTTTTGGTGATATAAGAGTGTATTATTACTATAGAGTTTTTTGTGTTTCATGTTATTGAGGCTTAAATTGAAAGTTGTGCATAAAATTAAATAAGTGTTTATTAAATTTTAATCCAAAATAATTAAATTTTTAAAAAGAATTAAAAATAAGTACCTATGTAAAAATTATACATGTAATTATATTAATTTGTTTAATTCAAAACACTCATATGAAGATTATTATAGATAATATATTGATATATTTCTATTAAATTATGTGATTCTTGTTTAGTATGTTAAAAACATCTAATTTTAAGATAATTTTATCTATATATCATTTATTTATATTACATAGTCTAAAAAATAATCTTTGAATAAAAAATTAAGAAAAATTATATTTTTATTTTTAAAATATATATTTATTTATAATTTTTTTTTCATATATAAATAATTTTAATGATATTAATTATTATATAGAAAAATAAATAGACTATATGTATTTCAACAATGGGATTCTAATCTTAATTTTTTATATTTTTACCATTCAAAAATACCAAATTTATTAGAACTAATTAAGTTTTTAAGTTATGTCATGCTTAAAGATTCTTTGAAGGTCTTTTAAGAGCTTTATTATGAATAGCTATTAGAAATGGACCAATTTTAGAAAAAAATCAAATAATAATAATAATGAAAGAGAATCAAAAGTTTTGTGGTCTTTTATTAAAATAAAGCCTAAAAAGTAGATATTAATTTAATTAATTTTATTTTAAATTTCAAAAAACCATTCTTGTTGATTTTAATAATTTAAAAATTAATATTAATTTTTTTATGGTACTAACCACATGATCATATATTGGAAATCTTTTGCTAAAACTATTCCTAGCTATGAAGAAAAAATCTATATTAGATATTAATCTACTAAAATAACATAAATTTCTTGGCTTTAAACTATAACATAAATAAATAGAATAATCTTTGATCTATAGCAAGGGCTTAACATTAGCCAATCTTTGCATATAATAAAGCTACATCTTGAAAAATCACACTATTAATTTACAAACATTGTAGATGAAAGTAAAAAGATTAAAATTGGAATATCATCTTAATATCCACATTGCTTTAAATCTTTTGTTGGAAAAACCAAGAATACAATTCTAGAAAGAAAACATATATAAATACAATTTTTAGGAAAGATAATATATATTATAGTAGAATCATCCATGTAAGAAAATTTTAAAATGCAACATATTAGAATATAAAAAATGACCAACTTTAGATAATAGATTTTTACAAAAAAATAAAAAATAAAAAAAATCATTCTATACTTGAAGATTATAACTAGTTAGCTTATAGAGCAACATACAAGGAACAAAGATGCTCTTATAAATACAATATAAGTTAAAGAAAGACTTATGTATTTTGCAGTAAAAAAATCATCTAATTAAGTATATATAATATCTTGTATAAATATATATGAAATTAAAAACAATATGAAAGAAGAACTAAATATAATATCATTATTAATAGAAGCATTTAACTATGCAATTTAGGCTCAATTCTTCTATAAGCTATAAGAAAAACATATATTAGATAATACAACAAATTACTCTAAAAGAAGAAAACTAACTTAATAAGCAAAGAATTAAATTGAATCTGATTTATGCTTTTAAAAATAAAACATTGCATTCAAAGAATTCTATAAAAAAAAAAATAGTAACAAATGCAACTAAAAATACAACTTCTAAGCCAAATATATCTACTTAACTTTGAATCTACCTTAGTGATAGCAATAATAAAATAGATGACTATACATGAGAATTAAAAGAGCTAGTAGTTACTTATGTGATTGATAAAGCACTAAATCAAAATCCAAAAATAATAATAGTTGGTTTGAAGACCTAATAATAACATCAAAGCATATTGTTTTACTTTCTATAAGATTTGAAGTAAACAAGATAGAGATGAATAATAATTTATCATTAATGATTGACTTGAATTAAAAATATGCATAATCCAAAAACCAATAAAGTTGTTTATTAGCTTGATTCTTAGCTTGTGCAATGAAATTCATATATATAGAAAATAGGTACTAGCTAATCAAAGGAATTTATAGCCAATCAATATTCTACTCTATAGAAATAATGAATTTTAATATAATAATATAAAAATCTTTTAAAATTAATTTATATTATCTTATTTAAATATAGAAATAGAAAAAAATATATCCTATAACATCAATCTTAAGACATTTGGTGGAAATATATACTATCTTTTATTAAAAGATAAATACAAGTTTTTCATATTGTCAATTTGTACTAGAAAATAGGTTCTTTATATTATACAACTTGTATTGAATAACATTAATATATTATCTTTTGTAATATTAAAGGTGTTAAAAACTATCAAAAAGAGTTTAAATTCTATAAATACTTACATAACTTACAAATATGATGTGATGTAATAATTTTAAAATAATACAAGTTACATATTACAAACATAAGAGATTTAGATAGAACATTGTAATTTAAAGTAGAATTTTAAATTTTAGAAGCATGATTGGTATATATTTGCAACACATAGGGATTAAGAATACATAAGATATGTATTTTGATTTCACCTAATATCAAACTTCTAATAAATAGTATAAGATCTATGCTATAAAATATAAATAAATTTTAAAATATTCCAAAAAAGAAAAAACTATAATTTAGGCATCTGATAAGAATAAAAGGAAAGAACTAATTTTGGATTGACTTTAATGACAATTCATCAAATGATATTATGTAGATTCTTGGATATGAGTGATACATACCAAAATGAAATAATATCACAATACCAACTTCCAACATTAATGTTGAGAACTTGCAACCCAAAAAAGACATCTTAAAATAGTGTGATACAGCAATTATCATGGATTGTCACTGATTACGTTTTTCTATGGCCTTTATCCACATGGCCTTTATTTTCATTTTACACAATGATTCAAAATAAAATTCAAACTTGATATTCTTATAAGTACATATTGTTTAGAATTTAATACCAACAAACTATGTTGATCATACTGAACCAATACATAGCCTTTTCCTTGTCTAATTCATTTGAAGAAGAGATTTGTAGTGCTAGAAACATGTGAAACGCTTCTTTTCGCACACAACATAATTTTCTTCACAAATTTGGTCTACGATGCTCCAGTACTTTTGGCCGACATCATGACGACAACACTTATTCCACCAAGTGGTCAATACACATAATAATCAATGCATCCTATACTCAAAACATTTTGTAAGGTCCAAGAGTCCAGAATATCAGGTCCAAGGTTCACATGCTTGATTTGCATCAGCTATTACATCTGAATTTGTGGCGTCTTCTGAGATGCATACAACATAATCAATCGAGTGCACAAATTCATTTGATCTATAAAGAGACCTGTTTCTTGGATGCCGTAAGCAGATCATTGTTGATTTGTACAAGCTTCACTCACTACACCATGCTTTTGAAAGACCACATTCTAGAAACAGGTCTAGAAAGTGCTGCACGGATTTGTACAAAAGCGTAAAGGAAATAACTCTTATATTCTAGATGAAGAGACATAAGCTTTATTCACACAGATAACAAGAACAAACCAAGCAGGGACAATATTCAACACAAACCTCCTAGCTTTCTGGCTTGCCTCGATACTTTCAGGTCGCTGGTAGCTAAGATTACATGAAATTTGACAAGATTCCAGAAATGCCGCCTTCCTTGTTCTTATCCTTCTTGTGATCTTTGTCTTTGTCCTTCTTCCCATCCTTATCTTTGTCCTTCTTATCCTTCTTCTCTTTGCCTTCTTTGTCTTTGTCCTTCTTCTCTTTCCCCTCCTTGTCCTTCTTCTCTTTCCCCTCCTTGTCCTTCTTCTCTTTCCCCTCCTTGTCCTTCTTCTTATCCTTGCCTTCTTTGTCTTTGTCTTTTTTTTCCTTGCCCTCTTTGTCTTTATCCTTCTTCTCTTTGCCCTCTTTGTCTTTGTCCTTCTTCTCTTTGCCCTCTTTGTCTTTGTCTTTCTTATCCTTCTTATCCTTGTCCTTCTTGTCTTTGTCCTTCTTATCCTTCTTATCCTTCTCCTTCTCGGGGTGCCCTTCAGAGTGGCTTCCATGGGCTATATGACCAGCAGGGGGGTAAACTCCTGCTGATGAAGGATAATAGGTTTGTGGCGGCGCACCATGCCCTGAGCCCTGTGGAGGATATCCCGCAGGAGGATACCCTGCAGGGGGGTACCCTGCTGGAGGATAGCCCGCTGGAGCAGCTCCATGAATTCCAAGCCCTGCTACTCCATCTGTTACAGCGTTCACATTGTGTGCACCATGTGGAGGATACGATGCTCCATGGAATGATCCATGAGGTCCTTGGGGGTAGGGACCTTGCTGAGGATACGCAGAGTGAGGAGGAGCAGATGCACTGTAAGAGTCAGAAGACTGTGATGGCCTGCTTAAAGACTGAATTTTTCCATATGGATCACTTGAAGGGTGAGGGAAGGAGTGAGCTGGAGCATTTGCAGTACTATGTGGGTGTTCGTAGGGTCCATAAGGTGCTGTAGGCCGGTCACTGTAAGGACCACCTCTGGACGAATCCTCATATGGTCCTGCCGGGGCACTGGGATACGGGTATGTTTCCTCCCCTCCCATGATCTGCAAGAATGCATGATGTTAAAACGTCTAGCCACTCAGCCTATGTATGATACAAATCTGTGGAGTTACGATGAAATAGAATTAAGCACAATGATCGTCACTGAATCAGAAATACATCCATTAATGAGGATAATACAATGAACAAGATATATTGTTATAAAGAAGAGCAATGCAAGTAATGAACTAATCAAACGGGTAGCCGTCAAAAGAAGAAGAAGATGAAAACCCATTCAAGTAATGAATGGCAACGCACAAACGCAACTAAGTGTAAACTAATAAGAACAAAGCTGATGAGCACGGCAGATCGATTAACTGTGATTTTAGTCGAAAAGAATATATGTGCATCCAACTATTTACACTAACAAATCATCTACACTATAAAAACGTCCATTATCCTCTTAGAACAAGCTCAATAAAATTAGAGGTATTAAGACGAAGAAGAGGAACTCGCTTGAAATGTGATACGAACCAAAACTCGAAACAGTTCGGGAAAGAAATAGCACTTGCGTCCCTATTCATCGCCGACACAACGAACATTTGAGAGTTAATTGCAACCCGCAATGGGATAGGGTGATACAATACCCTAAAAATTAAGCCGAATTTCCAAAACTCGTTCAAATTTAAACACGACCAAGCTTACTCTCTTTGGCAAACTTTTTGTAAGTAAACGAATCAGATTCTTACGAAATTGCTAGGGCTAACTATGGAAATCTATCTAGACCGTAGCGAAAACGATCACCCTCCAACACAAGACACAGCAACAGGTTATTTCTACGTGACATCACTCAAGGATCATTCCACAATCACCCAACACAACAAAGGTACACTGATCAAGCCACAAATTACCTCATCACACAACCCTCACTTCAAACCAGAAATCCAATAGATAAACAAAACTGACTAGAACAACTCACAGTAAATTCATTCAAACCCACCTGCGATACACGTTGGTACAACCCCTAACACCCACACTCCAATACACCGGGCAATCACTAACCTCTTCCAAGAGCAAAGACGATGAATCACAAAGCACCACCCCGATGTCCGAACGAAACCGACTCAATACCGATCTGCAGAGAAAGGACGTTCCCTTCGCCAGTCTACAACGAAAAATGTCTACTTGTAGTGCTCAACTCTTAAAGGGTCTTCTAATCAAGCCAACAAACGAGTAAACGAGGAATGCGGCCACGTTAAACAGAGTTGCCGATTCCGGAACAGAGCAGAGAGCGCGTGAAGACCCTTACGGGTAGGGACAAGTGAGTCGAAGCGGTAGCTGAAACGCGTCGTGGTAGAGTGATACTCTCCTGCTCTCGCTGGCGATTCCCTGAAATTTCGTCCGCCACTGACGTCGATAGTTTCTTGGCTCCCTCCCTCGCTGGGTCGGTCTTCCCCTCTCGCCCTCAACGCCATGCGACGGTAGCGATCGCTAATTGTATTGGGATCAGGATTCATCCTCTCTCCACTGTGTATTTCCTACTATACGATCTACGGTATAAAATAATTTCCGTCCTCTACACTAAGGTTAGGTGGACAAAGGGTGATTTAGGGGGTAGATAATAGACATAATGAAATGTTTTTATTTATTTTTAATTCTTTTTTGTACTTAAGATTTTTTACTTTTCAAATATAAGAAGAATCTCATGTTATTAAAGTGACGTGAAGTTTAAATTAACTATTTGGAATTCATTCAAATATTTTTTTTTACTTGGATTACATAATAAAATTGTCCAATAGTTTGTTTGTTTGTTTGTTTGTTTGTTTTGTTTTGTTTTGTTTTTGTTTTTTTTTTTTTTTTTTTTGGTTTTTTTTGTTTTGTTTAGTTTTTTTTTTCTCTTGTAAGTGGAAAGCAACATTGGACATATTTTGGGGGAAAGTTATGACACGATAAGATCCAAAAACATGGGTTTTTTTTTTTTTTTTTTTTTTTTTTTGGCTTTAATTTTAGATATAATATAAAAGAAAACAGTATAAATTATTAATTTAATTTCCAAAAAAGATAGTTGCCTTAATTGACTAGGGTAACTTACTAATACAATACAAAGTTTTTAAATGATAAAATCGTATAAAAACTTATTTAACTCAATAAAAGTCACCAAGAAAAAATACTAAAGGATTGTGGGCATAAATTTAGGTACATTAAGTAATAATAAATAAACAAATAAAAATTAAAAAATAATCTTATTATATTATGAATACATATATTTTTTTTGATATTTAAAAAATTTTGGAGAAAATAATACAAGAATAAATAAAAAATATTAATGTATTTATAAAAAGTAATATATTCGTTTAATAATTTTATAATAAAAATATAATAATATAATAAGTTGTAATAAAAAGACTTTTTAATACATGATGGATGCAAAAAGGTGCCAAGTGGAGGAATTTGCATCAAAGTAACTATCAAGATAGATAAAATAAAGATTAAGAAAAAATAGATAATTATTGATTTATATGCATTCCTAATTTTTTAATATTTATTGATTCTTTGACTATTTCTTATAATTTTTGAAATAATTTTAACATCTTTTTCTAAAAGATTTTTTTTTAATTTAATAATAATATTATAAAAAAATTATATTATTAGAAGACTATTTTTTTTTAAATTGTAAGATTTATTTAATAGTATATAATCTAGTGTTATGTATTGATGTGTCAAAAATTAAAAATATATTTAAGTAAAAATATATATAAATAAGATAAAATTTCGTATTCAATTTGATAAAATTTATGAATAAAAAATAATGCTATTATATGACAAAACCTAGGTAAAGAATAGATTGTTAGATTTAACATTTTAATATTTTTGGACTTAAAGTATTTTTTCAAATGATATATTTATTAATACATAGTAAGATTTTATAAATTAAATGAAATTATATTTTTGGATTATATATATATATATATATATATATATATATATAATCATGGATATTGCAATTATTTTAAGTACTTTAGATTTCAAAAAACTTTGCATAATCTATTAGAATTAGAATTTCAAATATATATATAATAATTAGAAAATATGTCACTTTCTATTAAATATAGTGTTTTTAACACTTTGGATGTTATATAATTACAAGAAAAGGTATGAGGTTACATCTTTTAAATCCTTTGATTGATTGGAATTAAGAAATGTTATTTAGTTGGCTTTAAATTTAGAAATATTAAATCCAAATATCTAAATAAAAAAAGATAAAATAGAATGTACTATTTTTTTTTCTACTTAACATAAATGATATTTTAAAAAAAATGTATAGTAGATTCATCTCAAATTGTATTTTTCATAGAAATTTACAAAGGTGTAGAAAATGCTGTTAAAATTAAACATTATATATTTGAATTTGAATATGTGTCATACTTTTTAAAATCAAGAAAAAAAAGTGGCATTTTAGATTTATTACAATACAATGATCATGTCTATTTTACAGGTGCTTCACTTTGTACAATCTTCAAAAGCCAAAAGCTCTAAATTTGTTTTCTTCATCAAGTGGAAGACCTTTGTAAGGCTTAGATACTGTGGTGTTTTAAAGGTAGACTTCTTCATATAAATACCCTTTAAGTACCTCACTCATGCACTCTACTCCCACATTAAAATATCCTACTGCCAATTGACTCAACCTTGTCAATTATCAATACTCATGCCAAAATCTGTAGAAGCTCTTCAAATGGGGCGCCGTGTTTTCTATACCATTGGTGCCACGATTTTGAATCCATTGAGTGTTGCCAACGTGAGTGGGCGAGCAATGGTGGTGTACTGCAAGCTCAGGACATTCCAGTGTGGCCCTTTAGCGCACTAATAGAGATGCCCTTCCAAAACCACTCAGTTCCGGAATTATATCTCATCGGAGCATCGTCTGACAAACAAAAAGGTCTGACGACCATCGTTGGATCTGTAGTCAGAGATACTATACTGTTCGACTTGTTTTGTCCAGCCCCTACCGATCACTCGTGGCTGTATGCTGCAGTGAAGATAACAGCCCTGGTTTTCCACCTCATGGAGCTTGAGAACAGCTCAAATGAGCTGTAATCTGCTCTTCGTTATCGTGATGGTCTTCTGGGATATTTTGGCGTCGAATAAATTGAGACTTGATGACAATTCAATGTGCAGTGACTGTGTATCACAACAGGGTAAACCATGCCTGCGACTTACAGGGCTATTCTCTCAATCTGTTGCTAGCTGGATCCCGTTCATGTGCAGGAACGGCTTCTCCACCGAGTTGCAATCCGTCAAGTACGACACCACGTCCGTCATGAACTGCCCATTGACATCCACATCATGTGGGCAGGTGTACAATTTCGTGGCCGGAAGTTGGAAACAAGTTTGTGTTTCAGGTCGCAGGCACGCACGGCGTTTGTGTTTCAGGTCGCAGGTCGATGAACCATGGTACTAAGCCACCATACCCTTGCGCGAGGGCGCCGAACGTGGACTGTGGAGTCAGAACCAAGTTGTCTGTGAGACTCAGACAGAGGATTTCCACCAAGGCATGCTTGTCAACCTCGACCCCGAAGTTCTGGGTTTCCTCGTGGGTCAGCTGGACCACCCCTACCGGATCGTCGGATTCTGTCGTGGTTAGCACGTAGTCCCGCGACAATCTGTCGGCTAAGCTTTGGTAAAGAGAAGTGATGAAGATGGTAGTGACATTGAGAGAATTTAGGACCTCGGGAGAGTTTGAAGGAACGATTGGTTCGTCCATTTCCTGTGGCACTGTCGTTGTTCGGGGTTGAGATTCGGAGTTCGGGGTTGGAAGAAGCCCCTCGGCCAGTAGACAGCTCACGACGTTCTCCTCCATAGTCGTGTGCAGTAGATCGAATTCTGATTTTCCCTGAAAGTATCGTTCTTGTATGCCGACTAGGCGATCTGAATGTCGGAAATGTGAGTCGTGCACTTGCTTGACACGCTCCCACACAGGATCACATGGTAGCATCACGGTCCGCAACAACTGAGTGAGTACCTTCCGGTGGGGGAAAATATCCTCGAGAAGGGGGCGGAAGCTCGGGACTGCGAAGAGCTTCGGCACGAAGTAGAAGTTGTTTCGAAAATTGATCCATTGGACTTGGGTATATTGTGCTTGTTCGGTGTCGCAGAAAAATCGTGGCTCCGGTTGCGCGTCCCAATTCTCGGTCGTGGAAACGGCGTAGACGGGCTTTACCATGGCTTCGCTAAGAGCTCTAGCATCCACCCTTTTGTGGAAATATGCCAAGGTGTCCCAAAGATCAGTTCTCTTCTTGCTCTTCGTCCAGATATGATCAGGATCCACCGTCCACGAGGAGCCCTCAAATGGCTCACAAAACACTCCGGGTGCAGCAGCGGCTTGCGGGACGAGAAGGATTCGTTGCGTTAGGACGGCATACACTGTCGCCGACACGATTGACAGAGCCTTGTTGCCGATACCGCTGCCCCTAGACACCCCAGCCACTACAAACTTGCAACCCTCTATATGCTTCCTCTTGAGGAAAAAATCTGTCACGTTGCCCATTTGCAGCACACACGTCCTGTGGAGCTTTGCATACTCTTGCAGAATGGAGACCCAATTCGAATTAATTTGTATGTCGTGTGTGCTTTTCCTAGTTGAGTAGAGAGAGTGAATTTCCCGCCTGCTAGAGCAAGGGTGCTCCTTATTCCACAACAGTTGCTTTTCGGAAGAAAAAACCTTCGTCATGTTGCTTCCATTTGCAGCAATTCTGGTGACGGCGGCTAATTTCGCAATGAGATCGGACGTGTTGCGGGGAACTTCATTCTTGAGCGGCAGTGGGTTGTCGAGAAACACGGGCCGGACCTCGTGCTGGTGATCCTGCCGGGAGATAGCGAACAGGCGAAAAGCTAGAACGCAGAATGATAGAGCCATCGCAATGATCAAGTTGTGCAACCTCGGACCCCGATGTTGCATCTTAACCTTCGAGTTCAACACAACTTGGTACATTCCTGTGGCAGTCATCCTGTGCAATTCCTCCAAGCTGCCTCGACGTCCAAAGTTGCCAAAAGGCGAATGTTTCGTCTAAGGCGAAAAAGCACAAGAATTATCTGGCGGTGGTCAACCCAGGGATCAATCTAGTAAGAATTGTCAGCCGTACGCAAGCTGTTCCTCAGACATGAACTGCCCACAGTCCCAATTTGATTCTTCGTCCTGCAGCTGACCAAAAGATGTGAAGTCTTCCCGTCCTGCAAGAAACCACGGTGCTGCTCAACTAGGGAATCTTGAGAGAACTCCACTCGTGAAGATTCACCACCCGGATTTCAGAAGTGATAGCCACACAGCTTGGAAGGTGGTGGCCTGAGCACGCAACGAAGGATTCGGAAGGCTTTAATTTCCGGTGCAGTTCTCAGGGTGGGTGTGGTTGTGAAACTCCTTCGAGGAAGACAAAGCAGAGCAACTACAGCGAATGCACATCATACAAAAACGTGGAGCTGTTAAAGGCAGTGGTTGCTTTGTCACAATGCTTCAAAGACACACACCAAGAATCAAAACTGCGCTTATACCCTAGCTGTGATTCCCTCCGACGCGTTTGCAACCTCGTGAATTTGGGTCAAAACGACTCTAGTGGGCTCCGGCACTTTCTCAACATTCAAACTAGATTTCTTCCTTACACGAAAGGGCGGCAAAGCGTTTTCCACGAAACCCTGGCTTGACACGAAACCCTGGCTTGACACGAAACCCTGGCTTGACACGAAACCCCGGCTTGACTAGTTACGATTCAACTGCGACCTTGTACAGTAGAAGAGGCCTATTTTATACTATTATATTGATTGCTTCAACCTTGGAAATTCTACAATTCTATGTTATTGTTGATCTCACATGACAGTGTGACTATTTTTTCATCACATATGTCGGTAATTGAGGCATGTATGTTGAACACAGTGCTTTCTGTTTCCAGTAATGCATACCTTGAGCTTGAAGGGACATGACCAAGCAAGATAAAAGCTTTGCTAATTTTGAATTCTCCGGTGCTTATATTGCCATTTACCATCTATTACTCGAATATCAAAAAACGAAGTAAATAAGTAGAAAAATAATGCAATCAATCAAGGGTATAGGCTAAATTAATAATATGCAAAGAATCTAAACAAATGAAAACATAATATATATTCATAATGTAAATAACACATATAAAAATTGATATATACCAAAAATAAAATCAAGCATGCCACCACATGTAAAACATCTTGAAAATAAATAATTAAGTTAATTCCTACAAGTAGAATTCCCATGAATTGATTTCAAAACAAAATCAATCTTCATATATACATTTATTTTCATATTATTTATAATCTTATTAACATATTGGCTATAAAAAACAAACTACAAACTTACAGACTATAATTCTTCAAACTTACTGACTACAACTCTAAGCTTCTTGTCACTTTTCATCTTAAGATTGTTCACAAATGCAATTCCATAACTTCAAGGAGGAATTCCTTCTCTACGTCCTTCCATTACGTTTGTCCTAGTGTTTCCATGTTTGTCTAGGATTTAGCCCTTGTCAATGATAGTTGCTTGCTAGATGTTACTAGTATGCCTTCCAAATGTCGTGCCAAAGCTGAAAGACTATCATTTTGGGAATGCAAAATTAATATTTGGCTTGACCCTTAAAACCTTAATATTAGGAGAAAGACTTGGATACTTGACCTCTATGCCAATAGGATCAAAACTTTCTCTTCCACTAGACTTGATTAAATTCAAATTAAAGTAGAGTTGCCATTGAAATCAAAAAAATGATTTTAAAGAAATTAAATACAAGTTAAGTTTTTATTGGATTAATATCATATATATCCCTCAATTATATCTCTCAAATATGTTGAAATATAAAAAATATCCATATATTTTTAATAATAGTAAATATATCTTATTTTTATAATAATATAAAACCTATGCTTGAATATAATAAATTATCATGACTACACATTTTTCAAATACAATTAGGATCTAAATTATATGCAGTATAAAATTTGGTATGATCCTTTCTATACTTTTCAACTATTGAAAAACTTACCTTGATTTTTACTTGGATGCAAGAAAATATACTTGTTGAAAACATTTATTATCCAATAGAGCCATGGTAGTTGAGATGGCACCATAAAAGAAAAGAACTTGGACCTTATTGGCTCAGGAAGAGGTCGCATTGCAATCACCATTGTAGAATTGAATCTAAATGATGTCATTGAGGACAACGATAGTTTTGTTGAATTATATGATAGTAGTGGCTTTAGCGGTAGAATCATTATCAATGCCCAAAACATGTAATCAATATTATCTATTTTTTTAAAATCACACCATATTATTACAATATCGTATTACGTGAAGTCTTGCTTGAGAATGCACCGAGCACCTGGTTGTGGAAGTGTGATTGTCGTTTTACTTATTCCGAAAGAAACCTCCCAGAATAAACCCACATAAGAGAATTCAAACACAAGGAAAGACCATGTATATGAGCTCCAATTGTTAGGGTCACATAATTAACCGCTATTGCTGAATGCTTACAATATTGAAGAATACTTAACTTTTCTTCCTACTGTCCACTCTTTCATATCAATACGATAACAACCACGACATCAATTTCAATACCTTGTGTAATTCATGAACACATAAGCATAACCCAAACCCTAGAACGAACAACTTCCAATCCACAGAATCTGATCGAGACAATTCCTTTGATTACAATTCCTCTCCATTGATTCACAACCTTGCGATAAACAGTGACTGGAAACTTCTATACATCATCAATCTTTCACAACAATTGATAAATAGTGATCCATAAACAACTTCGTAAATCAAATATTGATTCATTAAATTGATTCTCTTCACTAGAATCAACACTAACACAAAAGAAACAATTATGAAGAAGAGATAGCACCAAGCTTATCCCGGCTCATGACTATCACAGTCTGGCATTTTCTTCCTCTCTCCCATCCTCCTTATACTACCCCGAGATACCAACTCCTATACTACGGATGATAACTACTTTTCTTGACTATTCATCCATTCTACATACTAAACCACCTTTTCAATAGTTATCTATCCCTGTTTATACTATACACTAGATATCTACATTCTAAAAATAACTACTTATTCTACATAGCTCCACTCCTAACCGTGCAGTGTCCCCGCAAACACAGTATTGATAAACAGAAACCATTTTTTTTTTTTTTTTTTTTTTTTTTTTTTTTTTTAACTGGATTGTTCAATTTCTTCAATTCTTGGCGCTCGCTCTATTTGGTCTTGTTTCAACACTTTTTCTTCTACATCCGACTCGTCCTAAATCTCTGTCCTTAATTGAGCTATTAAATCTTCATTGTATACTCCCAATTTTTGAACTTGAGCTTCCAATTGGAGTATTCTGGCATCTTTAGCTTCCAGTTGTTGTTGCTGTTGCAATTTCTCCTCCAATTTTCTAATTCTTACTCTCGTTGAGGCAGATGTCTGTGACTAACCAATATTGACCAAATCACTCTCCAATTTTGTTACTGTTTCCTTCAAAACAACGATGTCTGCTTGTAGCTCATCCGTTTTGTTTCGATATTGGTCACCCAATTGTTTCTTTTCAAGCTCCAATGCCTCCTTCTCTCATTCCATCTTCAACTGAGCGTTCATCTTCTCTTGTTCCAATCTATACAATTTGTAAGTTTTTAGTAATTCTTGCTTTTGATTTTCCAGGATATGCTGAATCCTTTGTTTCTCCTTTGACCAATTTTCCACTCTCTCATCCAATTCAGGCTTCACTCGCATCTTGGATTCCGATTCTACTTTCTTGACTTATTCCTGTTCCTTGATTTTGCAATTTTGCTCCAATATTATTTTCTTGCTCGCTTCCACTTACTTTTTTAAGCTACCCTCATCTTTGAGCTTATTCACTATAAGTTGCAATTGGGAAATTTGACCCAATATAACTTCCTTAAGATTCTACCCTTCCATTACATCCCATTGAAATCCTAATTGGTTGCTTTTCCTTGGAACTGATATTGGTGTCGTCATCACTATTGTTGGCCAAATGAAAACTCGCTCTACTGTAGATATTGGTCTTGCTTCTTGTTCTGTCGCTTTGCTGGATTCTCCTACTTCATACACTATTACCCCTACACTAATTTTTCCCGTTTGTAAACTTGGAACTACTGGTTGAGATTCCTGTTTTAATGTATACTCAATCACTGAGTTTACATAATTGGAACATAATAATGAAGCAAACTTTCTCGTCTTCCGCTTAGGTCCCATTTCTGCATGTATCCTTGTGGCCACATAAGCTGCTTAATTGAATACCATGCCTTCCAGTATTCCTATCACGGAAAACAGTAATCGCTTTGCCATGTAGGTGATATGCGGATTCAATGCTAATCGCTTGTGAACAAACCGCATCTATTCCATAAGTTCGGGCATAAGTGCCTCCTATACCTTCTATCCTTGATTTTGCTCGATAGACGACATTCCTCCTTTGAAGTAGCTTCTTGGCTTGAAGTCATTTGATGCGTCTCCCCCCACCTCAAGCTCTCCGGTTGGTAAATGCAAGACCTTGTGTAAGATATTCTCATCTATCCCAATCAGGACTCGTCTTACTACACTCAAACCATCATGTAGATCATAATTTTCTATATATTCTGCCACTCGTTTTACATCAATTGGTGGTAGTTTATCGGATCCTCGCAAAAACGTAAATAACTATACATTTCTAAAATCATTTTTCCTTTTCAATAAACAACAGATGTCCAACTTCATCGGTTCCATGTTGGTGATAACTACAAGAGACGGGGATCCCAGATCGCACTTAGACCTCACATTGAGGTGACTTTTCGATCATTCCAATACACACTTTGCTCTTTCCATTGACATTGTAAAAATCAAACTTTCAATACTTCCTCGTGCTAACACTATTGCTGATTACTATCGTAAAGCTTACAGTTCAAAGTACAATGTCTAAAATTTACAACAATGAAACCTTCTATGAGTGCCTCGCTCCTAATTGCTTACTCGGGGTCCAAATCAAGAACATCTAATCCAATGTACCTTAATCTCACGTCTAATCAAGAATGTCTAATTTCCTGACTAGTCAGTTTTAGTACCCAAAACTAACCATCAATCGTTTTTTAGCTATCATAACCTTTTCAATCTTGTCAGGTAATCATTATTACGGAGACTCCCTCCTTCCACTGAGTAAATCCGTCCCAGGTTTACGTATAATACAGATGTAACCGATTCCCATTAACGTGTGTTGTGAAGTGGGTTCCCAGAAAATCTTCCAATTGAACTGAACCATTAGAGAAACCTTCCACCACCCGATATGGCCCATGCCATCGTACTTGAAATTTACAGGGAAAGTTGTTAAAGCGGCTATCATAAAGTAGCACCAGATCATTAGGCATAAAATATTTTGGCCATAACTTACTATCGTAATAACTCTTTTTGCGGTGCTATGTAGCTTCGATGATCAAGAGAGCCGTAGCCCTAGCTTCATCCAATTTCTACAATTGGACTAACCTATATTGAAGAGATTCTCTGTCTTCCATACGTTCATCCAACGCAATTCGTAAACTTTGGACCTCTAATTCAATTGGTAGAATTGCCTCCTGACCGTATACCAATTGAAATAGGATAGAATTGGTAGTTACTTTATATGCAGTATGGTACGTCCATAAAGTTGCAAACAATTTAGTATCCCAATCGGTTTTCGCTCCTAAAATAGTCTTTGTTAAGATCTTACATAGGATACCATTGGTCTTTTCTGTTTGCCCATTGACTCGTGGATGATAAGGTATAATTTTGTGGTACTTGATCTCATACTTCACTGTTAATGCTTCAATTTTTGTATTAAAAAAATGTATGCCACGATCACTAACCAATTCTTTCGGACAGCCAAAACGAGTGATAATATTCTCATATAAAAATGTTGCTACAATATTGGTATTATCAATATTCGT